GCCTGGCTGTTTTGATTTTGTACACCTGTGGCCATGCAAGTGATTGGAACACCGGAATTCAGTGATTTACTTTTTGCAGTATAGTATATGACCATGCTTTGTCATTTGTATTTTTGAGGCTGGCAGAGTTTTTTCTTATAGTTGCTTGCTGAAATTCATTAATTCAGCTGGTGAAAATGCCAGCAGGTGGAGGGGGCGATTGGGGTTGTGTTAAAATGCCAGACAGCAAACTGAATGTGAACGCTGGAAGCTAGAACGATCAGCATCTCACCAAGGAAAGCTTCATAATAAAGCCGTGCTTTCAAGTCCCCTTTGATACATTTGCTATTTTTTTTCCTGCAGTGCAGCACATTTATGTGAATTGACACAACAAAAGAGGGAATACCGAGAGCGTGGCTTTGTTTTAGTGAATGATTACATTTCACACACACAAGCAAAAGCCCTGAGAAAGAATCTCGCTGGAAGAAGGGGGGGGGGGAGGCAGTCTTTCACATGCTTTTACTCTAACGAACCATCACAGACGCTTCCTTTCCAAAAATGGCTTCTTAATCACAGTGAAATTCTAAGCAGACCCAGAAGCCTTACTGAATATTATTTTTCTAACACTGGTCTCTGAAGACTTTGCCTAGTTCGTTAAAGGGTGAAACTGCAGAAGATCAAGGGCTGCTGTTTGTCTGTGCTTTTTCACTACACAAAGACTTTTCCAGTTTTTGGAGAAGTTTTGTAGAAAGAGCCAAAAATTGCCCAGGAAGGACTGAAAAGAGAGGATGTGACACATAAACACTCTCGATGCCAAGAAGTCATGCTGAGCACCTAATACCCATGCAGTGTTATTGGATGTCCCCGTCCGTGTTACATGGCTGCTGCATTTCTAATCTCACCAGTGTACCTCTGTATCTCAGACAGATGAAAGTAGTCAGCACAGCTGGATTCGACGCCACGTCACATATGAACGAGACAATTAGAAGAAAAGCGGCACGCTGCCAGTTGGCAACTTCTAAACAAATGTAAAAACCTGTGAAAGGATACAAGGTTGCGTTATGCTGCTGCTGTGTTACGAGAGCTCGCTCGGTGTCCCTGATGTTGCTGTTTCTACTGCAGTAATTGTTTAGTTATGTAGTAAAATGGAGCTCCTTTATTATGGAGGCAACCCAATCTTTCCCTCAGCAAGAATGGAAGCCAGGAAAAAGAAGAAGTGTGGGTGAAATTGACTGAATTGAAATAAAGTCGATTACCCAGATGCTGCCCCACTGCAACTACTTCAGCAAAGACCCAGCAGAATGAAGTTGGAATGAAATTACTTTTTATAAATGCTCCCCCAACAGTTGTCTCTTTTATTTCTCTCCTCTCTTTTTTTTCCTTGATACAATTTCATTTCTGTGTTTTACAAGGTTCCATTAAAGACTCGCAAGTACGTAACAATGCACAGCTCTGAGGCAGTCTAACGTAGAGCGATTATCTCTGCAGACACAGATATCGCTGAGTATTTCTGCAGAGGCTGAAGCACGCTAATCACAGTTACCGCTTGGATATTACATCTCTGAGATTTGCTGCTCCCCCATCTCGTCTTTATTGTTTTGGCTCTAGAATCTGACAGCAATATGCATATTTTTAGTCAAGAATTTTATTTGTGTGGGGGCATGCCTGTGTGGTTTCTAGAGGTAGCTGATGTACGAACTTTCTTTGAAGTAAACATTCACTTTCTTATTTTGAAACGGTCTTCTTCCTAATGTAGAACTCCACACATGACTTATTTACACCTTTAGGCCAGGAGTACAGCACTCCAGAAGAAATCAAATTTGGCATGTTCTCCAAGTGCTGCTAGCAAATACCAGCACACTCGCTGTGACTCTGGGTCTGTTCATTTCATGGCGGCTCTGCAACATGGAGAAGCTTCAGCGGCGCACTGAGTACTCAAATCTTTAACTTAAATAAAAGAAGAACTGTCACACAGTAGAACATTCTTCACTGCGTGTAGGTTTGTCCGACATTCAGCATTAAGTTAAAGTACCGATGTATGAATAGTAATGTAGAACGGCTTCATAAAATGAAAACGCTAAAGTACAAGTTGCTAAATTTCTATGTTCAGCACAGAAATGTATTGGGCTCATTTTCACCAGTGACAGACTTATGACTCATTCTGGGAGTAGACATGGCTTGCAGGTGCCTTAAAACAGGAAATGAAAACTTAGGCAGTGGTTACAAGTTGCAGGCGATTTTTTTTTTTTTCAAATTTGTAACAGTTTAGTCTCTAAACCTTCCAGCTATTCGACATATTCATGGGTTATTTCAGTTGTACCGTCCATTTTGATAGTTTTATTTGCAGTGAGATCATGCCAAAAAACTCACAGTTTAGGTGCAAACTGATTATTTCAGGCTTTGTCCATTTACAAGAATCCCGCTGGCCCCGGTTCAAAACATTTCTTCTTGGCAATTTACTGAACGGCATGTCTGCTTCTTGGAGAGGCTCTAGTTGATGCCTTGTGTACGGGCCTGCTTGTCCTCTACCGTCACATGCGTCTCCCCTTCCTGAACCTCGGGCCCAGCCTGGGCTCTCAGGAGTCATCCCCTGGAAAGGCATGACAGAGCCCCAGTGTTTGGAAATGGCTGCGCTGGCAGCGATAAGCAGTTCAAAGAAGAGAGCGCATTAATGTAATTGGCTGCCAGCAGCGCATTGGCCTCGTCGTCTCATATCCACATGCGGTAACACACACTCACCACGCAGATTATTGGAGAGGGGAGTGTGTGAGAGTGGAGAGAGGATAGAGAGGATGAGAATGAAAGAATGGGGGGAAGAGAGATGAAGGCAAGGGCAGATAGAGAGAGGGGAGGCGGAGTCCGGGTCCTCATTGTGTCGCTCATTAAGCCATGGGAGGCTCAGGGAGGCTGAGAGATGAGATGAGAGGTGTCAGAGTTAAATGTCAGGTCTGGAAGGGATGTGGCTGACTTCCATGAAGCCTACGCACACACACATTGAGAGGTTGAGAGGGGATCCTCTGCTCAATCTTCAGTCTCATATTATCCCCTCAACTTCTCTTCTCCTTCTCGCTCCATAGCTCCTCTCTCTCTCTGCCACTCACCTAGTTTTGCCCTCCCAATTTTCCACCCATTACACCCAAATTACTGGTGCCATTGCAAACTGAATTGTTGCAGCCGGGTAGTAACATTTCCACTGAAAAGCCCCAACCGCTACCTATCGTGGTGGAAGTGAAGGCTATTTCCTTCAGCTAATTTCCTAGTCTGTGTGATTGGAGGCACAGAGGAAAATGCCGGGTGGCTTCCTCCACTGTTACGAAATGTTTTCACCAAAGGCTGTGAGAAGCTTTGAAGTTTAGACTCTCGCCCTTGTATCTCAAACATTCTCCTCTTGTGTCTCTCCCTGTGAGTTCTCTGCAAGCACTTCTCACCCCGCTTTCTATTTGTTTTCTGCTTTTGCTGCTCTGGGTTGAAATCTTCCTCTCGTTTTATTCTTATTTTTGGTTCTTGCTTCCTTTTATCTTGTGGCATCGCCGGCCTCTTTCACTTCACAAGCTTGAGTGGGAAAAAAAACAATGGCAGACACACAATCAGAAACTAGCAGGTGAACGTACAGAAGCATTAAAGAGCTGTAAGAGAGAACATTTTAGTAAGAGATGGTGGAGACCAAAAATGAGCTTGGGTGTGTTTTAACCTGAAGTCTGGACTAAAAACACTGTCAGTTAAGCTTTGTGAGGAGTGCAGGTGTAAGCAACGTGTAACTCAATTTTGGAGGCACAGTTCTGGTTCGTCTCCTAGTTAATTTCTCAGTGGGACCTAAAACATGGAGGAACTAAAAAATAAAATAGTCAGCCATGATCACTTGATCATGATTGGATCCCTCACCTTGCAATATTTTCATATATTTCCAGTGCACTGTGTACCTGAACCATTTTCAAACGTTGCAACATTCACCAGACTTGCAGACTTTAACCACATATTACCAGCTCCATACAGCTAATCAGCTTAAGCAGCATGAGCATATAACTAACCATTACTCAATCATTACTTAATGGGCTGTATGAAGCCATTTCTCTGCAGTTATTTGCCTTCTTTATTTTCACACAGGATGTTTGCACCAACACCGAACATGTTCTTGATGAAAACAAAAACTGTTACACACAGATACACTGTGTATTTCGCCAAAAATCTTGGCTTCCACACCAGTAGCATGCCTGCAGTTGAGAACAGCAAAGATGAAGCAATCTCTTCATTCTCTGCCTTGGCTGTCACCTAATCCTCCTGATGTGTCTCTCATATAATAATCCCCCTCCTGTTTTGGTTCTGTTTATATCCACGCGCAGAGCTAATGCACTAAACAAACAGACGTTCTAGTATGCCGTATCAATCGATAAGTTGGAGGTCAACATTGGTGGAATTATTAGAAATCAAAAATACATTTCCCATAACACCCACAGCTCTACAACCAATAAATATATTCGTTCATGAGAATAAAGTAAACAAAGCAATTTAAGTCAAACAACACCTGAACACTATTTTGAAAGCTGTAGTATAAAATGAGCATGTTATACCTAAAAATGTGCACAGTGAGCTTCTGTATTTGGGTTTTCATTACAGGAATAACTAACGCTGTATAATAATGTCACACTATTAAGCATTAATAAGGTATTTATAAGGTATTAGCAAGTGCTTAATTCTTAATTTATATAAGATTACTTCTCCTTTGTGTATCATTTATAAATACAGATATGTTTATCCATCTGTTACTGTTACACCATGTACAGCTGTCACTGCTAGTAATAATCATAGTCATAAATATAACCGTGATATATCTGTATTAAAAATGACATTAGAAATGAGCACTTAACCTACCCAGTTATAATATTTCAGCATTATCGAGGTAATAATTAAACATCTCAGGTCACATCTTTGTTTGTGTGCCATTCATGAAGATTTGGAATTTAATGATGACGGCATTTTTATTATTACATACAGTAACAGCACGTAATTATATCTCCTCCCAGGTCAACCTTTCAAGTTGGACCCAAAAACAGCCCACAAGAAGTTACGTCTGTCCAACGACTGCCTGACCATGGAGAAGGACGAGAGCTCGCTGAAGAAGAGCCACACCCCGGAGCGCTTCAGCGGAACAGGCTCCTATGGAGCTGCTGGTAATGTCTTTATTGACAGCGGGTGTCACTACTGGGAGGTGCTACTCGGAGCATCCACATGGTAAGAATTGCACGCACGCACAAGTGCATTATATAAGCCTGCAAGGAGGCTTGATAAACTGAAATATCTTTCTTTTGGGAGTTTAAATCTAGGCTGTTACGCAACCTCCCCCACACACACACATACAACAGACACACACCACACACAGTGTATACTCTTATCCTAATTATATTCTTTTCACTAATTGGCTGTGAAGTAGACCTTTTTCATGCACAAAAAACCCAAAGGGGCTACGTGTGTCTTGTGTGTCCTCAGCATGAGGTAGCCTGACTGTGTAAGTAAAGTCATTAAGGAGGACACTTGCTTCAGATCAGTAATGTGTTCCAAAATGTGCTTTCCCTGCAGGTATGCCATCGGCGTGGCTTACAAATCAGCCCCAAAAAACGAATGGAGCGGCAAAAACTCATCCTCGTGGGTGTTCTCACGTTGCAACAGCAACTTTATGGTGCGGCACGATGGTAAGGAGATGCTGGTGGAGGCGAGTCTGCAGCTGAGGCGGCTGGGTGTCCTGCTGGACTACGACAACAATTCGCTGTCCTTTTACGATGCCATGAATTCCCAGCATATCCACACCTTTGAAATCTCCTTCCTCCTACCTGTTGTACCCACTTTCATGATCTGGAACAAGTCAGTCATGATACTCTCAGGGCTACCTGTCCCCGATTTTGTCGATGGTGTGGCCTCGGATCTTCAAGAGCACCAACAGCAGCAAATGGGGATGTGCCGGCAAGACTCGCCATACTTGACCGGGATGAAGGCCTGCCACTGAGTGGTCGTGTGACTGTAAATGCGATTAAAACACTGACACGGTGGCTCATGTTAGCTAGTTACTTTCATATGGGTTTAAAAAGTTGCAAATATGCACAGCAGTCTGGAAAAATGTCAGTCCGGTTAGTTTGTAGCCATCCAATATTTTGCAAATCCATCATCAACGAATGGGAATGAGGTCTTTTGACTGCAGCCATCAGCATACGTAAAGTCCATCCGATGCCCTGCAGTGACTGACAGAGAAAGCTTTGGTGTCCTGTATTTTCAGGACCATTTAAGGTCTTCCTTTTTTCATCTGTGTTTCACTCCAGGCAGAAGACCAAAGTGAGAATCTTCATGTCAGCCATTTAAAGTTTGAAGGTGCAGCACATGAACAGTGAAACTACTTAACCTGTGGTAGATTATGAGAAAGACAGAAAAGGAAAAATATACAGAGAAAAATGAATAGAAAACCGATTGATGCTTTCACCACAGCAGTGCAAAGTGCCATCCACCGATCCATAATAGTTATCAAACAGGTGGATGGAAAGGCCATAGCAGATGCTTAGAATCACAATTTTTTGCTGTATCGAACCAGTAAGTGAGCCTCCTCATTTCCTGAGTATCAGGGACACTGTTGTTCCCAAAAAAGCCGATCTTTTAATGTCTTGATTATAAATTACCCTTCTCTCTAAGGGGACAAGTAAACACAAACCTACCAGCAAATTACCCCACACTTCATTTCAGAGCGTCTGGATCCCCTCCAGCGTTAGGGTCAAGCAGTCAGGATTTGTCTTTAGTTTATCGTCTGTTTTAGTAGTGTGAAAATTGATGCCACTTTCATGTCTGTTATTGCAGCAAGCAGCCGAGCTGGCCTTGTAGCATAAATTGTGGAAGCTCCAACTTTCAAGCTGCAGAACGTAACCTTCTGATCATAAGTGTCTAAAGTGTTTAAATTTCTCTTTTATTACAGATTTAACAAAAGTGTAACGTGTGAATGGGTAAGCTTTTGAAATGCTGCCAGCCTGGACTTTTTCTGTCCCCCAAAAAAGGAGCTTTTTTCCTTTGGGGAAGTCTGATTCCTACAAGGTTTACACTAGTACATACATTCTCTGGGAAACGTACAATACCACGCTTTTATTCAGTCATTTTTTTGATTTGGATTTCTACATTAATAAAAACAAATAAAAAGCAAAATTATGAACAGATCTTTGCTGATCATATTTTAGCAAATATATCAAAGTATCTTACAGTTTCTCCAAATGTGTATGCAGACATCCAATTATAGACATTACAATCTCTAGCTTGGTAGAGTTTTGTATTTACTGCACAAAATGGAAAAATAATGCACACCAGTAACTGCAAATTCACTGTAAGAAGATTTGAGACTAGGAAAAAAACTACAAATTAAGACAGCGAGTTCAGTAGTATTTTTTTCTTGGTTGTAAAAGTAACACAGAGCTTAACTGCATATTTTGAGTATAATGATGTATGCTTAAACACATGCCACGTTAGCATCATCTGCACTCCCAAAATGTGACACATTTACAGTGTGATCATACCGATGAAACAAAAACACTAAAACCTCCCGCATCAGTCCAGACACGAGAGTGGTATTCTTTTTCCCACACAGAGACTCTTGATTCTTAAAATGTCCCATTTTTTTTTCAGTTTGTCTACTACAGCAGGCTGTACTGCAAGTATTTCCTTGCCGCTGTTCATGTGTTGTGTCCTTAATAGCTATGTGTGGTCACTGCTATAGTCCTTTCCTCGATCTTCCTCTTGGATTTGACCCGTCAGTCTTGTTTTGTATTGACAGGTCACAGCTTCCTTATTTCAGGAAGCGTTAGCGTCGCTCCCGGATTCTTTATTAACAAGATCCCAGGGGCCAGATTTGAATCGTGTGACTACTCGACTTGTATAATAAGAGGTTTATTGATAACTAGAGGGGGAAAAAAGTGTTATTTATGGAAAAAAAAAAGTTTACTTTTATTATTAATCGCAACATATTCATGATGCACTTTTTAATTAACACTAACTCCCCTCTGTGAGTATTGAAAAAGATGGATGTGTGGCAGGGTTGTAATGGGGAGGGTAAGAGACAATAAGCACTGCTGCTGGTTGTGTTAACTCATCCTATTTTTCTGCTCATATTTTCAAAGTAATTTATGGTGGTTAGCGTGTAAAACATACTGCAGTAAAACCTCTTTTGGTCACTCTGAGAACTTTGCAATAAAGAAAGAAGTCACAGCTTTTGTTTACTGTGCTTTAAACACAACCAGCGACTTGTCCTCCCCATTGCATTTTTTCAATAGCATACAGTGAAACTACGTTTAGAAAAGGGATATGATTATGATGGTGTTTGTGGGATTTTTATTGTGATTATAATGAATAACTAATAGCTGTTTGTTGTTGACTTTTCACGGAAGGAGGTGGTTAACACTTAAACCTGCTGTCTGTCGCAATGTCATGGCATGATTGTGTTTTCCTCTGTAATTTGTTACCACACACACACACACCAACACACTCCAGGTTCAGTTTAGGTTGGTCTTGTCGTGATAAATGCATGATACATTATAGGATCTCACAGTTCACCGGGTAATTTAAGTAACTCTTTCAAGCTCACCAATTAGTTTTTTTCCCTTTGGGTAGAGGCTCACCTGAACATTTTACAAGCAGACCTGACCTCGAAAATCTTTCTGTTCTTGATCACTATTCAAATAGCAACTGAAGCTGGAAAAAATAGTTTTGCTTTCAGGTTCGGATTTAAAGGCCTAGCGTGGGTGACAGTTTCTCTCTGGTTTGATATTCAAGGAAGCAGGGCTGATTCAGACAATCAAATATGTATCATAGTTTTTGCCGATTTAAGAGGCTGCGTAGCCAGAAAGTCGAGAGAAGCTGTGACAAAGTGACACTGGAGGTTGTGCTTAAAAAAGATGCAGACTTTTACCCGATTTGACACGAGAAACCTTACGCCTCATTGCCAATTTCACTCCTTTTACTCATCACGGGGTATATAACTGTTGACTGTCTTGTAACATTTCTACTCTGACAGGCTATGATCTCCTTGACTTGAAAAAGCAGGCATACCCTGCAAACACACTGTTTTAAATCATTTGCTAGTGACCTTAAAGTTCCTTGATGAGTCAGTTGGGAATGGCAGTGAAAATCTGATCTGCATTATTCACCGAGGGAAACTGAACGGTGCATCAGTTATGAATATTTACTCGAGGTGTTGATTGATAGAGATGTTCCACATGTCAAAGATAACACAGCACACGAACAAAGCAGGGAGCTTACCGAACGTTACCTGACTTCCAGATATCCATTCATCTTGCTGAATAATGTCGGTCGCAGCAGCCGAACAGTGTTGATTTGTGATCTGGACCGACAAGCTCAAGTCATCTGTGCAAGTGTGCTCGGCTTGGTCACTGCATGAATATGTGACCTTGCCGCAGGTTCATGCTGTAACTCGGTCCTTATCTTCGAGATAGGGTTTCCTGTCGAGTCAAACATATTCTCAATTTTTATTTTTATTTTTTACAATGGGGGGAAAAAAAACTTCGAAAGCATACAGAAAATGTTCATTGCCATGCATATCAGATCATCTGCAGTGCTCTTTTTTTGTGTCACAAGTCAATACAGTAAAATATATACGGTGAATGATTTTCAATAGCTACCCACTCCTTGTAGTGCAGTGTAATACCCTAGAGACAATGCAATAGATTCTCCTTTCTGCTTTTCTGTTTGTGTAACTTGGAAAATGTTTTTTGTTTTGTTTTTTACAACTCAAAAGAAAGGCACTCCTCTCCTTTTGACATTTGGACCTTAATTTAAAAAAAAAAGAGAGAAGAAAACTGAAACAGCACAAAAAGAGCAGTTTTGCCTTCCTGCAATGCTTCCTGTTTCCATAGATATAACAGATATACTTTTAGTCAGAGAGGAATGTAAATCATAGGGGGAAATATATATTATATAAAGTTGTATATTATACAAAATATATATGAACCAATGTTATTTATGTGAATTTAAGTCCAATTAAAAGTCTGATCCCAAAAACTGTTGGAGTCAAGAGTTTCTTTTTAGGTTTGCTACTCAAAAATGATACAACTGCTAAATATAATTTCAAGTATTTACAGAAAAAACTGAGATCCAAGAGAGGAGTGAAGAAAAAAATTCCAGGGTTGGACAGGGCGATGCTCCTATCCTAAAGTCTCAAACTGTTCTTTAATCATGTTGATGTTTTAACCAGGTTTACGACACTGGAAAGATTCATAATAAATCTCCCTTTAAGCAGCTTGTGAAACACAAACTGTTTGCCTCTCACAGGTCTTACAAACATGTACGGGAATTTAAACTACAACCCACAGCTTTCAAAGAGGCTGAGCCCTGGAACGGTACATGGGGCAGTAAGGTTGCCAGGCTGGCAGGTCATCCAGAGCTCAGGGTGGGGTTTGTAGGGCTATACCCTCTTAGCCCTCATCTGCCATCACTGGCACGAGTTACTCACTACAACTAGTACTGTAGTGCATTGGCCCCAGCACTGCCTGCGAGCATGGCACAAACACAAACACTGACCCTGAAAGGATGAACAGCCCGCTCATGTAATTTGCATTTAATTTGCTTTGAGGCAGCAGGAATGCTCTAACAGTGTAATAAGGGAACCAGGGGAATTTCAGCTGGCTGAACAATTCAAAATGTATACTAACATATAAGATGACAGCTGTGGGCCTGTGTGGAGTTTGCATGTTCTCCCCATGTCTGCGTGCGTTCTCTCCAGGTACTCTTGCTTCTTCCCACATCCAAAGACATGCCATTAGTGGGGTTAAGTTAAATTGTGATTATCCAATCCATTGTTTGATGGATTGGCTTAAAATGCATCACACGAGCAGATACACCAGTGAGTTCATACCCATCTTTACGTTCTGGCTTCATTATAGTGTCATCTACTCACCAGGAAACTTGTAACTGTAGCCTGCACGCTTTGAGGCATGTGGACAAAATCTGCCCTTTGACTGATATACATATAAATACCAGTCAAAGTACACTCAAATGCTTTTGCAGTGCCTCTGGTTATAGTATTCAAGCCAAATCTCTGCCCTTATAAAACACTCACAGACAAACTCACAAAGTGAAAACGAGACCAGACACTCTCTTGCAGCTGCTAAATGTGGTGGTTTAATGCATTCTGCCCTATGACCTTCTCTCTCTACCAAGAACGCCAAAGGACCGCTCTCAGAAACAGTGTAGAAGAGCTTGTTTTGTAAAACAGGAAAAGACTATAATAAGATCCCTGCTTCTCTACATTTCCATTACTATTTAACTAGAAGCTACATGTTGAACCTCATTACCTGATTAACATGATAATGTAGTGCCTAATGTAGATTTGCTTATTGAATAACATAGACAGGCTCAGAGAAATCCAGTTTCAACCTATTACCTCTCCATTATGTCACTGCAACTTCCCGGAAGGTTTGGAGACATTATGATTATAAATATATGTGCACATCTATGCATATGCAGTATTTAATCCTGCGTTATGAATCTATCTCATTAGGCCAGGGCTTTTTTAAAATCTAGTTGACCTGTGCACTGATGGATTACAGGGCTCTGTGACGTAACTCCATCCAGGTTAGGCCACAGGTTTAAAGATTGGGGCACTGTCTACCTCTCCGTGTGTGACAGATTAGCAAACGGTTAAATGTGATACTCGCTCTGCCTCTGCTCCCTCACACTGCTAGCAAGCAAACTGTTCGAGCAACCCATAATTACATTTCTAATTGCAGAATAATTAGGACTCCCTGTGTAGCTCGTTAAGTCATTTGTCACTAAAGCCTCTAATGTGGCATACAACAACTCTCTAATTACAAAGAAGGAAAAGTGCACAAGATGGGCAGCATTTCACTACTTGTGGCCTAAGTTTTGTTTGATGTATATTTCATTCATATTTATTATTATTATTATTATTATTATTATTATTATTATTATTATTAGCTGCTATGACTGTGTTATAACCTAGTAAAACAAACCAGCAACCAGCAAAAACAGACTCTTCTAATGATAAAATGAAGTAAGAACTCATGTGATTAAGAGCCATGCTGCACATTAGAGTGGTTGCTTTCTTTCTTTTCACCTTTAAATTACAGCAAGGTCAAGTAATTTCACTCTACAGAGAACAGTGGAAGAAAACAGATCTTATCAAAAGCAGATGATATACTGCTGTAATGTACCCCATCTGGCCTTCCAAAGGAGACTGCTTCTCACAGTTCTGTCAGGACTTTTACCAGAACTTAAACAAAAAAACAAAACTACAATTTTATTCAACAGTTTTGCAGTAATAACTGGGCAAAGGTGTGGAATGAATTACAGTCAACATAAGTGCATCTTTTGAACAGATAAAAGAATATAGAAGAAACAGGACAACGCTGAGGTTGCACCCCAGCTCCAGGTAACATCAAGCTCTTAATAAAACTCCAACGAGTCAAAAAATGAACAAAGAACACAGACAGTTTTCTTTTCTTTTCTTTTGAAATAATAAGTCCAGCAATCAATAGAGCTTGACTATTTTTGTTGCTGATCCTACCATACAGTAATAGCTGTTATGAAATCATGTGTTTGCTTACCATTGCTTATTCAAGGCAGTAAACTTGGCAGCTCTATAAACAGTACAGATGTATATGAATCAAGCAATGCGCATACACTGACTCCAACTGCGTCCATCTCCAGTTAGGCATAATAGCATTGCCTCTATACTCACCAATAACCTAATAAATCCTGTGAACAATAATTAGCTGGGAAATGAATGCAGAATACTAGCAATATTTTATCATCTCTTAAGCTTTATGATATCCAGTTCTTTCACTATGGGGGAAAGAAGTTGGACTAAATGCAAGTGGGGCCTATCAGCAATATTTGGTCATTTGTCACCAGTATTAAAATCTATTGCTATTACATCGCTTAATTCTACCCCCTTGACACAAATCCAGCCAGATTTTTCATGAGTTGTGAACGTCCATCTGTGCGTGTCACTGCAGTTCATATCTGCCAGAACTACGAATGTACAGCTGGATACAGTGAAGTAGAAATATGCATTACGCCCCTGGCACTGTTTTACCCACACACCTGTCCCAGCTGCACCTATACACTACTTACCCAGAATGGAATGACTTAAAAAAAAAAGAAAAGAAAGAAGGCCTAATTTCATTACCATCTGCTTAGGAGAAAGACAGACACTTTATTTAGAATCTGGCTTATTTAAACTGTGCAACTGTTAGGCAGAGGCTCCTCTGCTTGCAAATGAGAGACTGCAACAGTGTGTGTGGGAGTGCAACTGTGCATGCAGTCCTGAATGTGTGTGTGCATGTGCGTGTGTGTGTGTGTGTAAGCCTACTTGAACGTGGGTGGTTGCACGTGTCTTGTAATAAGGTTGTTTTCTTCCCTTTGCTTCATTTTGAACTACTTAACCTTTGCTTAAGGAAATTCTTCAGAGACTGAAGCTCTTTTTTATATTTTCCAGTACATAAATAAATAAAAAAAAAATCAGATAATAAATCAAAGATAAAACAAACAAAAAAGGCAGGATCAAAGCAAAGTGTGTGTGGGGGGAGTGTTGCCTTTAGACCTGTTGAGAAAGACAGAGGCTGCCTTTACCTTTCCTAAGTGAGGATGAATTAGACCACCATGGAGAAGAGAGCAAAAGCTTGGCTCTCTGCCTGCAGGTTGATGGAGGAGAGCTATGAACTCTGGGAAATGAGGATCTAAACAGAGTGTAGATCACCAAGCCCACTGGCTCTGTCTCTATCAGACACAGCATCCCTCTCTCTCTCTCTCTCTCTAAGACTTAAACACCCAGACACACTCTAACACTCACACTCCACAGTCAATGTCTAGATTAATCTCTGAGGGAGGAATCAATCAACACACCCGGTGGCATCTCGGAGAGCCCCGGAGGCTTGATGGTCCCGCTGAAAGAGAGTGATATGTCCAGGTGCTTTAGAGACATCTCAGCAGAAATCTCTGCCTTTCCATCTTTCCCCATGAAACTGACAGCGAGTTAGTTTCAAGGAGATATGAAGCTAACACCATGTCATTGACATATGGATGAAGGGCCTAGGGAGAAAATCTAAGGAAAATCCACAATTTCTTTGTACATGTACAATGACAATAAAAGGATATTCTTGGTTCTCAAGAACAAAGGTCACAAAGTGCTGTACAATAAAAATAAGATACTGTACATCAATCAAAACTATATAAATGGATAGAATTTCTTCATTTAAGTCATCAACAGCGTCCACTTAAAACCAATGGAAGTGAGTTTCACAACTTTGAAGGTCCAAGGTACCACCAACAAGCACGGATCAGATAACCCCAGAGACCTTGAAGTTGCATATGCATGTAGAAGTTCATTAATACAAGGAGGCAACAGACCACGAAGAGCTCTTAAGTGTTCACCAAAATCTGAATCTTAAACTTTATAGGGAGATAGTGTGCACAAACAAATGAAAGTGATCCAGTGTGAACGTTTGCTAAGGCACAGCAACAACAAATTACAATAATCAAGCCATGATGAAATTAAAACGTGCGATCATTTCCATTTCAGATTTAGGCATAATATATGTGTGTAGATGGTACATTGTAGGGTCAGCACAGCATCATCATCTCACAGCAATGCGAGTTTGCATGTTCTCTTTGTGTCTGTGTGGATTCTATCCAGGGACTCTGGCTTCCTCTGGATAAACACATCAGGTAAATTGGTAACTCTAAAATGACCAATGCCTGTCTCTTTATGTTAAAACTGCAATAGATTGGTAATCACCTCTTGCCTACTGACATTAGGCATAAACTCCAAGCCAGCCATTACCTGAAGGACAGATCATCTGGCAACATTATGGGATTTGAATGACCTATAAAGCAACAGGTGGTAACTTAACGCTAACCTAAAAGAAACGCTGGCTAAGCAGAAGTCTACAAACAACAGGTATGCAGTCTGTCCAAAAATGAGCATTAAAAGTAAAGTCTTTGACTTCCCAATATAAATATCTTTATTTTACTTGTCCACACTTTAAACACAGAAGTCCCCACCCTGGAAGAAGTTTTTCAGCAACCTAAAATGCAGATTTCTGTGTGAACTAAAGGTTAAAACGCATAGAAAATGCCCATGTAAATGAGGACAGGGCCTATAATTGTGTCATTTTCAGTATTTGGCATTTTCAACAAATGACAAATACTGACGTTCCTCAAATGACCATGCTGCTGGCCTCTAAAGCTATGTAAACCACATAGATTCAGCTTGATAAAACATCCTAAATCTGCAGCAGATCAGGATGTTTACAGTCGCAGTTTCCTTATTATTAACCTCTGTAGCAGTGCACATGGGAAGGCAGGCATCAAGTACGTTAAACAGTCTTTAACCTACCAGCTCCCTAGTACAAACCCTCTATGACTACGCCAATGTTAGAATAATGTAGGTAATAGTTAGCACAGTCCAGTCCAGTCCTGCTACACAAACTCCTTTGGATAAACCATGCAGAGTATTTCCAGTAGATAGATGTGAAAATGAAAACTTTACAATGCTTTGATTTCTGATTTAATTCTACTGACGTTTACAGGTTTTGTTTGAAAACAGCCAATATTACGAAGCCCCAAATTAAAGATTACAGTCGGCGGATGCATAAATCACACATGCCAACAAGTGACAAAATCACCAACAAATCAATGGCTGCTGGCTAAATGAGTCACCAACTTTCACATAAAACATTCTGTAATCAAGGATCCATTGTTTAAAAATCCAGACAAAAACTCATGCTCCATTATTGTTATAAATACCATGTGCTGTGTGTCAATAATTTATATTTATATTCAGGCATTTCCCTCTCTCTCTGCTGCATTTTTATCTGAATATTAAAAGCATTACCTTTGCAGAGATTTCGTGCACCTTGTTTTTCTCCTTTTTTTAAAAAAAAAATGGACACTGTGAGTTTATATGAGGAGTTTGGAAAACTATAAAACAATTCAAGTATCAATTACACGTCATTTTGTCAGCTCTGTTTGGTATAAGTGTATCTGTAACAACTATAGGTGGCCCACACTCACAGTTAGAGTGCAGCGTTTTGACCAAGCTGTCTTGAAGATTGAGTGTTTCTATTTGGATGAAACAATTCAGAAGAGGCTTTTGGTTTAGCTTTAGGGGAGAGTGTCTCGGAGGAGCTCTTCATCATCCTCTACAGCCACTTTCACAGGTTAATGAATCAAGAAAATACACTCAGGACTTTCTTACTTAGGAGCTGGGGGTTGCGGTTTATGGTGCATTTTAAAATTGATAGCGGGAGATAAAAACGCAGTGAAGTCAGTATTTGTGCATGAGCTCCTGTTTTGCAGGGACCGAAACAAGAATAACATTTCACATGGAGCACCAACTGAAAACGTCTGCGCCGCACAGATGGTCGGATGATTTAGTGCTCAGAAATGAGATTTGTTGGAACATCTTTTAAAACATTGTAACTATTAGCAGCAAAAAAATAAACCTTTGATTCCGTATATCCTGCTAGCACATAAACACAGCCTACGTCACTGCATTATGATTGATTATTTAAGCTCCTAATATAAATCCTTCTCCTGGGAGATAGAATAATTAAAAGCAGCCTGATAATTTTGTTTAGTGAACCATGATGACTCTTTGATCCATGCATATCTGATCTGTGCGCCAAAACAGCCATCACCATTTAAATGATGCTCCTTATTATGATTACTA